TCTAACAGGCAACAACTAGAGAATGAAAAGAAGAAGAGGGAGATAATTGAGAGAGAGAAAGAACAAATGTTGAGGGAGAAGGAGGAGCTGCTGGTGAGGCTACAAGAGTATGAGGTGAAGACTCAGAAAGCAGAGAAAGGTAAAGTACCTGTACGGGCTGACCAGACCCAGTGTGTTGTGCTCCACAGGAGGGTTATGGGGCTGTTGCCTACATGTGCTGCAGCCTAAAGCTGATGATAACACCATCCATTGTCAAGGTTTACCAACATCAGCCTATATGGATAAATACACACCTGCACACACGCGCTGCTGCCATCATCCGAAGCATGAAAGCAGCATAAAACCTGCTGGTTGTGTTTGGGAATTGAAGGTCACACAAAGTCTCATTTTCCCCCGTTGCCAAGAGGGTTTGAGTAGTGTGGCCTTTCCAGCAGCGAGTAGCGGAGTTTCTGCTCTGAAGTACTTTTTTATTTAACTCCTGACAGAAGTACTTTGGGAACAAGGCTTTCCGGGGAGAGGGAAGCTTCTGTTTCACCGCACAGATGAGCAGACTGGAGACAGCAACATCTGGTCCTTGCAGTAAAATGTCAAAGGCAGCAGAATCACGTCAGCCTTACAGACTTCGGTGCAAATATCTTGCTGGAGGTTTAATTATTATAATGTGCAGCTGATTACTTCCGATTTTAATTACTTGATGTATCATGCAAATAACTACTCCGAGGTGCACAGGGAAGGGAAGTTGCAGGCTGGACTCAGGTGTTTGGCATGACTTCTGTAGTCACCTAAGAGGCTGCCTGTAGTCCCTTCGCTTTGACCAGGCCTGTGGACTAACCGCACTGACTCATCTGCTTCCAGAGCTCTCAGACCAGATCCAAAGAGCCATTCAGCTGGAGGAGGAAAGGAGACGAGCCCAGGAGGAAGCAGAACGCTTGGAAGCGGATCGCTTGGCTGCTCTGCAGGCCAAGGAAGAGCTGGAGAGACAAACTATGGACCAGATGAAGAGCCAGGAACAGCTGGTAAGACCCGGTTGTTTTGAGGATAAAGATACGGGGTCCAGAGGGGTGATTCTTCTGCTTTGCTCTGCTCTGGTGAGACCTCACCTGGAGTATTGTGTGCAGGTCTGGAGCCCTCAGTATAGGAAAGATATGGACCTGATGGAGCGGGTCCAGAGGAGGGCCACGAGGATGATCAGGGGGTTGGAGCACCTCTGCTAAGAGGACAGGTGGAGGGAGCTGGGGTTGTTCAGCCTGGAGAAGAGGAGGCTCCAGGGAGACCTTAGAGCAGCCTTCCAGTACCTGAAGGGGGCTACAGGAAGGCTGGGGAGAGCCTGTTTAGAAAGGCCTGCAGGGACAGGACGAGGGGCAATGGCTTCAAGCTGGAGGGGAGCAGATTTAGATTGGAGATTAGGAGAAAGCTCTTCACTGTGAGGGTGGTGGAGCACTGGAACAGGGAGGTGGTTGAGGCCCCATCCCTGCAGATATTCAAGGAGAGGCTCAACGAGGCCCTGGGCAACCTGGTCTAGTTGGGGGTGTCCCTGCTGACTGCGGGGAGGTCAGACCAGATGACCTTTGGAGGTCCCTTCCGGCCTGGACAATTCTATGATTCTATGACAGATGAGCACGTTACTGTGCCCTTTGAGTCAGGCAAAGCCTCGTTCTCCAGGGAAAAACAGTGCAGTGAAGCACTAGGCCCTGTGATAGTATCATTATGGCACTGTTTTCTATCACGAACAATCTACATTTTTGCTCTGTTTCCTATTTGTACTTTCTTACAGTGGAGTGTAACACATGGGTCTTCTCTCAGTCAACAGTGTTTCCCTTTTGTGTTTGTTTTGGTTTATTTTTGTTAAGAGTCCTTATAATTCCAGTTTTATTATTCAACAGGCCACAGAGCTTGCAGAGTACACGGCCAAGATTGCGCTTCTTGAAGAGGCAAGGAGGCGTAAAGAGAGCGAGGTTGAGGAGTGGCAAATCAGAGTGAGTATTTCTGCTACACAAAGTACTCTGAAGTTGTACAGGTGAGCAGAGCGTGGTGCTCAGCCTGCTGTGGCTTCTCTAAACGTGCAGAGACAAACATCTGCAGACCAGGCTTGCGATGAACGCGCAACGTGCCTGCGAAGCACCTTTCTGCCAACAAGCCTCCCATCAAAATTCAAAGTGGAAGCCTGTATAAAAGCTAAAAATGTGCTCATCATGTTGGAGCCACGGAGGGGAAGGGGCACACGTGTAAATGCTGCATTTAATCCATGATGTGATGTCTGGAAACATTATGTCAGTCCAGAGAAGGCACTGCAAATGCAGCCACACCGCAGGTACCAGGAGTGTGGGCTGTTGTCAGCAGCCTCCCGGTACCTGGGTTGGGAGAGTTGAATAATTTGATGCAGTAAACCCAAAAATAAACCGTGTGAGGCTCAGTGCTCCATAACTGGTGGTGCAGAGTAGTCACAGAGAGGGCAGCAAGGGAGCTGACTGCCTGCCATGTAATGGCAATGCAAATGCCAAATCGGGAATTTAAGTTCTCGCTCTGTGGAACCCATATTTACAACCTACAGCTCTTCAAATGGAGAACAGGATGAAGGCAACTGTAGCTTCCCAAAGAACTATTTTTCCTAAACTCTGTTCTATTGCAAGAAGATTCTTTGTTTAGATCACCTGTGTGCTACACCATGAATGATGATAATTGTTCATTAAGCTGCTTTAAAGCAAGAAACGCATGAAAATATCTTTCACTCTTTTTCCCAAAAGGCTAAGGAAGCCCAGGAGGATCTGGTAAAGACCAAGGAAGAGCTACAGCTGGTAATGACTGCTCCACCTCCACCCCCACCGCCTGTCTACGAGCCAGTGAACTACCACGTCCAGGATAACTTGCAGGATGAAGGGTCCGAGTACTCTGCCTACAGCGCCGAGTTCTCCAGTGAGGGCATCAGGAACGACCGCAACGAGGAGAAACGCATCACTGAAGCAGAGAAGAACGAGCGTGTGCAGAGGCAACTGAGGGTAAGAAAATGTTTGGAGAAGAGGGAAGGAGTAGTGGAATCAGTTCCTGGAAAATAGATCATTTAAACATTCCGTTAAGCACGCAAAGGGTGATGGGCTCTCTTTGTTTACAGTTCCTGTAGGGAGTTTGAGTTAAAGATGAGGTATACAAAGATCATTCCCATTGCTCAGGCTTTGAGATTCCTTACATAATCCATAGTGTTTATGGAAAGCATAGGTTGTATCCATGTCACTGATCTGTCCAGTCCTCTGACAACGGTCAGTTCTCCCCAAAGAACACTTTTGTCAGGAGCTGAAATCTTCTCCTCTATCATCTGTATTTAATGTTCTTTCCGTTGCAGGCGCTGACAGATGAGCTGGCCCAGGCTCGAGATGAAAATAAGAGGACCCACAACGACATTATCCACTCGGAGAACATGCGACAGGGACGGGACAAGTACAAGACGCTGCGGCAGATCCGGCAAGGCAACACCAAGCAGAGAATTGACGAGTTCGAGGCGATGTAAAGATGCTTCTGGCAAGCAGGCAGGACTGTGGGAAAGGCAGATCTTGATGCTGTGTTCTTGTTTTGGGGTTTTATTTTTGTTGTGTGTTTGTTCTTTTGGGGTTTTTTTGTTTTTGTTTTTTTTTTCCCTGAGGAGGGGTCACTATATGACATCTAACAAATGTTCTCCAAACCCAGAGGTGTTTGAATCTTCCTTTTATTCCTTCTGTTAAATTTGGGATAGTTAAAAACCTCATGATACCACTGATCCTGGTAACTTGCTCATGCCTTTGCTTAGTGCCAAAAGGCCTTATGTCACACCTCTCTTTTAAGCAAAAAAAAAAAAAAATTATGTAATAGGCCATGCTTCTAGTTGAAGATATGTCCTGCACAGGTGCTGGATTCAGCTTGGTCTAGAAATAAGCAACTGTGGGTGAATTTTGTGCCATACATCTTTGTATTATTAGTTACCAAATCCAACAGTTGAAAAGACAGGTTATAGAACTCAGGATCTGCAAGTAACCTGTATGTGTGTGTGCACGTATGTGCACGTGTGTTTTTACACCATTTTTTTGTCTTGCTGCCCCCCTACCACCCCTAAAAGAACTGACAACACCTCAGAACTACTTTGTGTAGAAATTAGGCTTCTTCTGGTTGCTGTTCTCAAGTGAGAAAAGCCTGCAGTGATGGCTGAGCAGCGTGGCACAGGGACAGCCCTACCCTCCTCACCTAACAGCTAGGTAAATACTCTGTTGGAATCTAATACACTACTGTGTTTGCATTCCAGCTTCATTCCTGATCAGTTATAGTGTAGTATTTATATATATATATATTTTAAAAAACCATGCAATACGTGAATTGCAGTACTAGTTTAAAGGAAAATAGTTTTGCTCTGTATATTTTGTTACTTTTCAGATTTACTAAGACTTGCATCTGTAAAAATGCCTGAACAACACTGTAGTCTGATACAGTGCAGCTGATTATTTGCTATAAAGCATTGTTTGTAAAGATCATTTTTTTACTTAATGAAAATTGTTATATGTACACATGATCCAATATATACAATTTTACTGCACCTATTTTTCTAACAAATTTTCTAATTTTTTTAAATGTTTGATTTAAAGTTTCAGACTCCAAAGATGAAGGGACTGCTTGTTTATATCACAGTTGTATTCTCTCTAGTAGAGAGCATTTCTGTGACCATTCCTTCCCCACTAATCTCCCCCTTTCCTTGAAAATCTGTTAGAAAGTGAGATACAGTATGTTGTCAGCTCCTCTCTTCCATTTACAACACATCTATGCTGCTTTGTACTTAAGTTGAATCTTGTGTGTGTTTTGGTTTTGTTTTTTTGTTTTGTTTTTTTTTTTTATTTGCAGCAGCCAACACCTAAATAAAAGATCTGCAAAGTAACAAAGGACTTGGAGTCAGGTGTTTCTTGTGTGGGGTGTAGTTTGCGTGGGGAGCTGCTGCTGGTGTAGTTCCTGAGCTTAGGGTATAAGGACTTTAGAGTTAAAGGCCACGTGTACCTGGAAAGGAAGAAAGGAGAATACTTGCTGTGATGATGAGGTGACCATCTTCAGTCCTGGAGCAGAGGTGCACAGCAGCAGCTCTGGGGACAGTTGTGCACATGGAGGATCTGCTGACTGTAACGCTACAGCTCACACAAACTGAACCAACACAATCCTTCAGCCTTAAGCTTGCCTTTCCACCAATTCACATGAATAAATGCTAAGCTCAGCTAAACTCTTGTCCTCTGCTGCGTGCCATATGGATCGGGCTTGTGAACGCTGTCCTACAGCAGCAGCTGATTGGAACAAGGAACTTGCTACAGCCACATTCCCTCTACCTGCTGCTGTCCCATACTCCTACCTGGTTTTAAGCACCACGATACAGCACACGTTTGGAAGGCACGTGGCCACAGGCCAGAGCTTTTAAGGGTCATGTGAAGTCATAGTGGCACAGTAGAGGATTCTGAAGCACAGGGGTGTCAGCATCACCCATCTGCAGCAAGCAGTTACAGATAAGCTAGTTTTACATTCTCTCAGAACATACATAAAACATCAACATCAGGGTGAAAGCATATAACTTCCTTAAGTTGTCTCGCTAAGAAGTATTCCTATCCGTGATTAAATTAAATAATTACATTTCTGCCACGCCCAGAAACAGAGAACTGCACATTACCTGGCTACTGTTGCCTTGCCAAGCATAATGCATTTCCAACTGTGTTTGTCTTTCCTGAAGAAACAATACTAACCTTGGACTGCAGCTAGAAACACAGATAACAAAAACAACTTTTGGAGAAATAAAACCTTCAGAACATCACAAAACTCTGTTCCCCAAAAGCTGGAGTAGGTACCCTCACAGTGTGCCTTTCCCCAGACCCAAAAGGTACGTGCCACTTGAATGCAAAACGTCCCCCACGAGGAAGGGAAGGTTGCTGGGTGGTGATCCCTCACGATTTGAAGTTCTCCTTATTTGAATGCAGGACAAGGGTGAAGTCCATCCAGGTGTTTGGGCTGCGGAGCACTTCCTGCCATTGGAGCGCTGCCTGAGAAGCGGGGTCTGCGCAGCCCAACGATTCCTCTGCAAGAAAGAAAAAGGAAAGGTCACAGGGTTACTTTTCGTTTGCCCAACTTGTGGCCCCATCAACTACGTACCAACCAACCTGCTTCTCCAGCAATTTCAGCTGTTCTGTACCTCCTAAGGCATTAATTGCAATAAACTGTAGTTGTCTTTTTGAAGCGTTATTTGCATCCTGTTAAAGTAGGCTCGCTCTTTCTCAGCTTGCAGCGAGGAACAAGTTTTTGATTGTATGACTTCAAAAGCAGAGAAACAAGTGTGTGTACTGCACACAGCAGAATGGCACACCACCACCTGCTTCAAGGCTCCAGTGACTTTATGCGTTACTAGGCTTAGGGCTTGGTAGTCTTCTTCACTTGGCAGCAGGTAGTTCCTGCTCAAGCAGAAAGGGAAATGCTGGATGGGACAATCAAAAGAAGGAACCCTCATGGGACAGCCTGCACGGCCCTGACTTACTTATGACCAGTGATACTGCTACTCTAAAGCACATGTTGATACCACAATGGAGTGACAGTGCCTCAATCTTTTTGAGCCTTTCATCTCAAATACTGAAACCAAAGCACTTCTTCTCTGGGAAGACAGGGGTGGGTGACTCCATTGGGCCATCTTCAAGTGTCAATGCTTCCCTGCTTGACTACCAGTTAAATAGGGCCTATTCAGTGAGCAGAGGGTTTCTCAGCTTTGAGAAAGACATCTCATTCTTATGGTAGACCAGAGCCCAAAACCCAGACACGCACATAGCCTTTCTGCACAAGTTTCACTTTCTGTACCTCCTCATTAATTGTATTGATTTGTGGATGTAAAATAATAAACCCAAATATAAGCAATGTCGCCATCTATCAGATCATTAGTTCTCGTGCTTCCTCTTGGCTTTGAAGTAGCCAATTCTTAGAAAAACAGTTCAAGGAACAAGCCTCAAAAAAGAAAAAATAATAAATCTCTAGATGAGTAGACTCCATCCAACTTTTCTGTGCTTGTTTTGGCATGGCTGAGCTCTGGCCCTAAAAGTTGCCACACTAACAAATGGCTTGCCTGAAAATTCCCCCTGACACCCCTCAGCTTCTGCACACCTGAACTAGAACCTCGTTTCTTGCGGGCCCTAAAAGTTGCCACACTAACAAATGGCTTGCCTGAAAATTCCCCCTGACAACCCTTCAGCTTCTGCACACCTGAACTAGAACATCGTTTCTTGCAGGATCAAAGCCCAGGATTGCAAGTTGGGACAGGGGCTGTACGTGCAGGCACGTGGCAGCGGGTAATAAATGGTACAGTGTAGATACTATTATCTAGAATGTAAACTAAATGAACTTTTTCCCAAATTACCTTCAATTTTTAGCGATGAAGAACTTACTTGCACCAAGCTTGGCTCCTCCAAGGAACTGATCGCTTGAGCTGAAACCTGACTGGTCCCAGACTGTCAAGTGTAGACAAGATTGCTGGAGCTGAGCTGGGGTAACACCATCAAAGACAAACAGGTGTTTCCACTGGGGACAGGCTTCTTTCTTCAGGACAGGAGACTTTCGCTTCACCTCTGCTTGGTCTGGAAGGATAAGACAACTTCCCCAAAACAAGGAGAGTTTCAGCAAAGTTAGTGACTTCTCAACCAGAAAAACGGAACATTTGCAATAATCAACCAGGGCCCTTTGGTTTGCCTTAAATAGCAACAAAGTTCAGCTAAAGTGCAAGGCAGACCAGGGTGCCAGGGTGTTTATTTTGGGACGTGCTCCTTTTCCTGTCTGCCTTCGGTGTGGGTGCAGTACAAGTAGGCTCTTCTGATCTGCTTTTCCTTTGCTGTCACTGACTTCTTGGGGGAGCCTTTACTCCCCATTCTGTTATCCAATACTGCCTGAAACCTGCCTTTCAGTAGCCAAACTGGTTGCCCACTTTACTGAAGACAGACACCACAAGAGGTGAAATGGCTTTAAGAGAAGTTTTAAGTGTACCCCAGTGTCATAGCTCCAATAGCATCTGATGCCTAACAATAAGTAAAATGAGCCCACAGACAAAGGCTGAGGCCTTCCAAAAGGCCCTCAAGCGCCTTGAGGAAAAACTCAGTCCCTCCTCTTTTTAAAACGTATAGAATGAAGGGATTAAAAGTTTCCTTTTCAATGCATCCAAAGCTATATTTCATTCTGCAAAGGCAGAGCTGAAAATAGGAATGAAAACAGCCACACGATTTGCACTTCTTTTTTCCTCTCTCCTAATGTCTAAAAGCAGATTTTAAACTAATGAACTCTAAATTTTAATGACCTCAGTAAATTCTGGAGTCCATTCAGGACCCAAAGAGTAGGTGGGACCTCTCACTGCCCTGCTGAGTGCTGCTGTTGTGCAGACACCCAAATGTCACCATTACAAGGAAGCCTGACTAAGAGAGGGGACAATGCCACTTTCACACGCCAGACTCCTGACGAGAACACATTAATAGGCATCTTTGCAGGGAATGTGTGTGACATTTTCTATTTGGAGTGTTAGGTCTCATACATACCCTTTAACGAACGAGTTGAGCATTCCAGCAGATCTCAGCACGGGCAAGTTCTTGGCCCCAATGATCATAACCTGAAGCTGGCATTTAGGAGCTCCTTGGTCTTTTTTTCCTGAAATGGGAGCATTTATCACATTAAATAACCAGTTAGTCCCCACTGCTAGCCTACAGATGCTGCTATAACCAAAATCACTAAGCAGTGCTACTGCGATAAGGACTCCTAGTGCTCTATCAGGATCATTTGAAAGACTTTTAAGCTGCTTGTACAGTGTATGATTCACACACCAAAAAAGAAAAAAGCAAGCAATGAGTAGCAGGTTGCTTTGAGATTCCTGTTCCAAGCACGGAGCTTTTGTGAAAAGCAAACACAGGGCAGTACCCACAGGAGTGTTCCTCTGAAACAAAGCCAGAAGCAGGAGAAACAGCCAAACCCAGAGTGTGATACCGCTCCTGATACGGAGCAGAGACCCAGTACATAGTGTGCACAGGGAGGAAAAAATGGAAGAAAGCAAGCTGGTAACTTTGGAGTCATATGGAAAAGAAAAGGGAACAAAATTAACGTAGCAGCTAATTAGATCTTTCTCCTGGTCTCCAATTGTTGCTATGATCCTGAACACAGACAGAGCTCCTAGAGCTCTGAAGGCCCTCACACCTCACTCCAACCCAGGGAGGTAAGGAAAGGGTGGGTTGTCCTGTCCCTGCCCTCCCCAAGTGTTCATGTCACTCATGACACACCCCAGCAACACTTCATGTACCTCATTACCAAAAACCAAATCCTGACCATACGTTTTGAACCTTCTTCCAAGTGAAACCACCTCTCTAAAAATGAGACCACTGGAGGAAGCCAAGGTTGCTTTTTCCCCTCAATTGGCAGTCTCTGCCCTGGGCAGTAAAACTGCTCCATCTCCTCCAGAGTGAGGTCTGCTGGCAACATCAGGAGAGGCACGAGCTGTCCAGCCAAACAGCTGGATGCACCATACTGCTGCCGTTACAATGGGCAGCTTTTGTTGGCATTAAAAAGAAGAAAAAGGTAAAGTTGGCAAATGTTTGGATTTTAATTAATGACAGGCTGAGGGAGCTGGGATTGTTCAGCCTGGAGAAGAGGAGGCTCCGGGGAGACCTTATAGCGGCCTTTCAATATCTGAAGGGTGCCTATAGAAGAGCTGGGGAGGGACTCTTTGCCAGGAAGGGTAATGATAGGACAAGGGGAAACGGTTTTAAATTGGAAGAAAAAAGATTCAGATTAGATATCAGAAAGAAATTTTTTACTATGAGGGTGGTGAGACACTGGAACAGGTTGCCCAGGGAAGTTGTGGATGCCCCATCCCTGATCAAGGCCAGGCTGGATGTGGCCTTGAGCAACCTGCTCTAGTGGGAGGTGTCCCTGCCCATGGCAGGGGGTTTGGAACTCAATGATCTTTGAGGTCCCTTCCAACCCAAACCATTCTATGATTCTATAATACACCACACACCGCAGTTGGCAGTAGCTGTTAGCAGTGTCATACAGGAATATTATATGGACACTTTATCAGTCCTTCACTGATCTCCATTCTTTCCTAGCCAAGGGATTCACGTATAACGAAACGTTTTATACCTTCAAACTGGAAATTTTTGTACTGGGCTGGTACTGACAGTCTTGCAGACACGAGGAGTTCACCGCTGTACTGGATAAGGTCATCCTCAGGCTTTTCAAGCTGAAGAAAGGGACATTCAGAAATCTGCATTACTGCAATCGTTCTATTCCACACCGTTCTCACCAGGCTTTTCAAGCTGAAGAAAGGGACATACAGAAATCTGCATTACTGCAATCATTCTATTCCACACCGTTCTCACAACTTGTTTATGTTTCCAACAGCTAATGGGCTGGACTGACAGCATTTTTAGCATTTTTCCCCCTCAATGACCTCAGAAGGGCAATCTTACTCATCGATTTCACCGCATCCCGCTCTCGAGATACAAGTAAGCAACAAAAACTAAGAATCACCTTGGGTCTGAGCTGGTACCAGTTGAACAACCGCATCGAGTTCTCTTCGAAATCCCAATCTGCCAGCGGGATCACCACTTCCCCCAAAAACACCCTGTACTTGAGTGCCCCTGCGTGCCACACCGACACCTGAAGCTGCCGGCTTCCCAGCTGCGAGTAGTCGATCTTGTACTGGAAAGACAAACAGCATTTAGAAAGCAACGTGGAGGATGAAGGCAGGACCAGGCCCATCACCTGCCCAGAGGAAGCCCAGCATCGTGGCTGAAGGCAGCCGGATGCAGACGTTGTCTGGATGTGCTTTGCAATTTGCATATTACCCCACTACTTAAATGCTAAATAATGCTCGCCCAAATATGAAACAACATTCCAGGAATACCTTGGCCTGCCATGCTAAAGAGTTTGATTCTTGACTCAGATCTTTAAATAATTCTTGACTTTTTTTCTTTAAATTATATATATATATGTGTGTGTGTGTGTGTGTGTGTGTGTTTTACAGTCCCAGCAGAATTTGGCTGCTCTGGAGGTCAGTTCAAGACCTTTTTTTAAGACACCTAACAAAGACGCTAAAATTTCCATTCTAGTAAGTGGACATCTACTCACTGCAGTCACTAAGGGCAAGGAAGTAATTTAGCTGACCACTAATTAAAGCCCTGATCCACTCCTGAAACATAGTTAGAGGCCTTTGAGACGTTGGTAGGTATCTAATATACCCACACGAGACTGGCAAATGTGATACCCAGCCTACAGGTGACCTCCACCCACCTGGACTGAAAACTGGAGGCGATGGCATGGACGAGGGCATTGCTACCCACATTGAGGCTGCTGAATCACAAGCTGGGTGTAGGCTTCAGTGCAAATCACCCCGAGTGATTCTCAAGAGCATTTACACACCTCTCACACATGCAGCTACCTAAAGGCAGGTGCCTTAATTTTCAGCTGGATCCCACCGAGTTGGATCTCAATATCATGACGTAGCTTACCTGCACCAGCACTATGGTCCTTTGACCATTTCTGCTACTCTGGATGAACTGATAATTAAACTAATTTAAAAGATTTCTAACTAAATTAGCTGTAGTGCTCATGCAGCCAACTCAGGCATGGCTCTCACTTTCCCTTTATCAGCTCTGCATGGCTCTGGCATTGAAGAAGGACTATAAAATTAGGACCAGTTATTCTAACTTCAGACTTTTTTCTCCCAACTTAAACCTTATATACAGCCTTTGGGATAGATGAGAACACACATTACATAAATCTTTTGTTGTTATCAAACTTGACAATGGTCTTTTCAAACATTTTTGCCTGTTTCACCTGCTAGGAATTCTTGATGTTTGCACACACCAAGAGATGGGAGTAACACTGAAACTTTTCTAGAGTTCAAGGAGCAACAATCCAAGTTTGTCCCTCCATTAACTCTGTTTCATGATCTTTTCCAAGACAACACATGGCTGAAGAACTCATCAGCTTCTGTGCTGCTGCAGCTGGCTGATGCACACAAAAAGATGGGTTTGTAGTGATTGGAGTACAAAACCAGAGCTGGGAACAACCAAACTAATCCAACCTCTCCCAGCTGACAGTACTCAGTTTCAGCTTTCATTAAGTGTCTGTGAAGTGAGAATAATGGCTCCTATTTTCTACACACAGATCTTACAGGCAAGCAAGAAGTAATATTGCAAGGCATTAAGGAATTATAATCCTAACTGCAGTTCTCTGGTGGGTTTGTATAATGTTGGAAAGTAGACACTACAAAGAGATTGCCTGGCATCAGTTGCATGGGGAAAAGGAAGCAGACGATGTTTCAGAGGCGGTGGAATTCATTTAGCATTCAGCTAACTGCAGAGAGACACTCCCAGGTGGCACCAACAAAAGGGATATCAGTTGAAAGAGATACTTGTGTAAAACACTAATTGCTCTGCAATACACCCAGTTCCTGAGTGCACAAAAAAAAAAAAGGCATCTGTGGAAGACACTTTGTTTTTTCCACAGAACAACACTGGAATTCATTAAAAAGGTTTTCATGGACTAAGGCAGACTCTTCTGCTGGTTTGCAATTTACCATTCTAACTCCAAAAGCGTTTTCTCTTTTTTGGACTGAAAAACATAATATTTTAAATTATTGTTGCCACTGGCTCATGGATTTGTCCCATTCGGATGATTCTGAATTTGCAGGATTGTACATTGCAAAAGGAGGCATTACCATGGAAAAATGACACACAATTGAACACGATACCTTTAAAGATTCATCGAATTCTGGATCCACGGTGCTCTTTTTGACAGCTGTCTTGCGCTTGCTCCGAGGAGATTTATCAGGAAGTAAATAAACCTTAACATACCTTGTAGATAAAGAGAAGGATATATGGAAAGTGATGGGGAAAGAGAAAGGAGAACCAAACTAAGAAGAAAAAATAATTAGATGAGAGGAGTTTTTCCTAAATTCTTAAACAATTCTATTGACTTTGTAATTTTTCAAGCAATAGGATATAAATCACAATTTTCCATTCTTTCTCAATAAAAGCAGACAGACTAAAGATCCCTGTAAGGATTGCTGTATATCACTCAGCTAATGTGTCTCAATTCTATTCTAACTGGAAAAGGATAAGGATCTGAACAGGAATCTTTTGTTTTCATACTCTTGGACTCTGATAAAATAGCCACCAAGGAAGTCACCTTGTTGTCCTGACAGTTTTATGATGAAAAAACCCAGCGTATTATCTGCTTGAAAGAAAATAAAATACCAACTCGCTCAACTTCAGGACCATTGCTGCTTGTTCATGAAGAAGAAACCCCAGAAAAAAAAAAAAAAAAAAAAAAAAGGTCTAATCATACAAATAATACACAACAATTCATAAGCTTTAAAAATTCTAATTTGTAGCCACTAGAGTGAAAATGGGAGAATGCCTAAAGTGCTCAAAATTGCCCTAACGTTGAGTCAAAGAAAACCAGTAAAAAAACAAATTCTAGAAGCGGAGTTGGATCAAGCACCAATGACTCCTACCCACAGTTTCTCATGTGTAGGTCACATGAACAGTAATACTTAAATATTCCCCTTAATATAAGTTCAGTGAGCTGTACTTGTCTTGTGGCTTCAGAACTAAAGAGTATTAGCAATAGAGATTGTTGGCTCACAGCTTGGCAGGGAAAGGAGTGATTGGTAACATAATACTAAATATTTTAAACAGTATTTGTTGTATTTATTTCAGATCTCATGATTTAAACTGGTTTTAAAACAGCCTCTTGATTAACATACTGGATAAATAAAGTCAGCTGTATCTTCTATCATCAGTGCAGAACTTAAACACCTTCCCTATTCTTTCCAAACTTATCCACGGGTAAAACTACCTTTTTAAAATATTCAGGTACTAGAAATTTTAGCCTCTTACTCTATCATCTCAGATCAATTTAATTAAAAACTAGCCTGTCAGACCTCAGACCAGTCAACAAGCTAAATAATTCAACAGGTTTTAAAAAGCAGTTAAAAGTCTGCTTTTCAGCAAGCGCGTTGAGTACACTGACTGAACTCCTCCTGCTGGCTTGGAAACCAACAGAAATATATAAATATATATCAATAGGGAGCATAATATTCACGACACAACACTTCCCACATTGCCTTTCAGGCTTCCTGCACCTGTTTGCCTGGCTTAATTACTGGGACTTAAAGAACCTTGACCCACTTTGGAAGTGCTCTCAAACTGCCCTGCTTCACGAGCTGCTGCTCCAGCAAAGCTCCTGCCATCACCAAGCTCCTCTTTGTGCCCATCCTCTGCAAGATGCACAAAAGCCATATTCCTTCTGGGTGATGGTGACTGCAACTCCACAATGCCAACATGGTCACTCCAGTGCTCAAACATGGTGAGAGCAAGGGCAACATGGTCAGAGAGCATCATTTAGTAACAAACAGTCAAATCATCAAGGCTTAACTACCCAACCAAACCTTTCTATGGCATATTTTATCCACAGAAATAGGTATTTCTTCCTCTTAAAATAATACATAATTATTAAACAGCTCTATATTTTAAAATGTATTGCAGTATCTGAAATGTCTATTCTTATTACAGAAGATGGAAGCACAGAAGCAACCCACATTGAGTCAGTAGATTAATTAGGAACACAACATCTCACATTTTAGCCACTTATGTATTAATGTTGCAGGCACAACTTTAGATCTAAAGTCTGAACAGCTATTCTTGAGATCCAGAGGTGCTCATGAACAACACAGATACCCACCTCCCTGGCCACAGGCAGGAAAAGAGTTACTAGCAGGAAATGGTCAGAATGGAATAAGGATACCCACCTCCCTGGCCACAGGCAGGAAAGGGTTACGAGCAGGAAACGGTCAGAATGGAATAAACACTGGTATGAAACCTATTTGTCTTGCAGTGTGTATATGTAAGAAGGGCTAGTATCAATTTTGGATGTTCTGAAGGTGCTAATATGGCATACCTGTCTTGCAGTGTGTATATGTAAGAAGGGCTGGTATCAATTTTGGATGTTCTGAAGTTCATATCATATATCAATCGTAAGTATCTTAAAAACAGAATATTGATTTCTCCTTCTCTACTTACGGGTTACACTTTTTCTTCTTCTCATCTCCATAAGCCAGGTTCTTGCATCCCTTGATGCAAATTTCTAAGATGCAAGCTTTGAAGATGTATCTTATGGCAAACTCTATTTCTCCCGTGACGTTCGCCTTGCCAAAATTGCCAGACTCAGTGCAAGTGCTGTTAAGGCTATACAAACTCCCCTGAGAAAAGAAAAATGTTTGGGAAAAGTAGCTTCAGATCAAACAGGACAAAACATTTCTTTCCTTTAAAGGTCAGTACCTTTACAGACATCATAGAATTGTCTAGGCCAGAAGGGACCTCCAAAGGTCATCTAGTCCGACCCCCCCGCAGTCAGCAGGGACACCCCCAACTAGACCAGGTTGCCCAGGGCCTTGTTGAGCCTCTCCTTGAATATCTCCAGGGAAGGGGCCTCAACCACCTCCCTGGTGTTCCAGTGCTCCACCACCCTCACAGTAAAGAGCTTTCTCCTAATCTCCAATCTAAATCTGCTCCCCTCCAGCTTAAAGCCATTGCCCCTCGTCCTGTCACTACAGGCCTTTGTGAACAGGCTCTCCCCGGCCTTCCTGTAGGCCCCACTCAGGTACTGGAAGGCTGCTCTAAGGTCTCCCCGGAGCCTCCTCTTCTCCAGGCTGAAATCTACATCACTGTAGAGCTACTGCAAATCATGGAGATTTAAGGTAAACTGTATAAATCGTTGTTGCTTCCATAACAGCCCTGAAAATTAAGACTGTAGTTGCAGTTCTACTGCTTTGCCTTTTTCTCTTCAGTAAGCTATCCAGGCTAAGAAAATGCTTTCTTAGGTAACTTTGAGATCGAGAAATTTTCTCTGAATAAAACTGCTATATGGCTCCCCACAATAAAATGGGCTAAGTTTCTGAAAGGAAGAGAGTGAAAAAAACCTCTGAAATCTAAGAACAAAGACACACAAAATATCAAACTAGACTGAATTTACTACATAGCTCATAGCAGGGTACACTGCCAAGGTGTTAGGTTCTATCATGTATTAAAGAAAATGTGGCGTAAGTTTCTGAAAGGAAGAGAGTGAAAAAACCCTCTGAAATCTAATAACAAAGAGACACAAAACATCAAACTAGACTGCTTTTAGTACATAGCTCATAGCAGGGTACACTGCCGAGGTGTTAGGTTCTATCATGTGTTAAAGGAAACCCTCCCTGGTGTTCCAGTGCTCCACCACCCTCACAGTAAAGAGCTTTCTCCTAATCTCCAATCTAAATCTGCTCCCCTCCAGCTTAAAGCCATTGCCCCTCGTCCTGTCACTACAGGCCTTTGTGAACAGGCTCTCCCCGGCCTTCCTGTAGGCCCCACTCAGGTACTGGAAGGCTGCTCTAAGGTCTCCCCGGAGCCTCCTCTTCTCCAGGCTGAAATCTACATCACTGTAGAGCTACTGCAAATCATGGAGATTTAAGGTAAACTGTATAAATCGTTGTTGCTTCCATAACAGCCCTGAAAATTAAGACTGTAGTTGCAGTTCTACTGCTTTGCCTTTTTCTCTTCAGTAAGCTATCCAGGCTAAGAAAATGCTTTCTTAGGTAACTTTGAGATCGAGAAATTTTCTCTGAATAAAACTGCTATATGGCTCCCCACAATAAAATGGGCTAAGTTTCTGAAAGGAAGAGAGTGAAAAAAACCTCTGAAATCTAAGAACAAAGACACACAAAATATCAAACTAGACTGAATTTACTACATAGCTCATAGCAGGGTACACTGCCAAGGTGTTAGGTTCTATCATGTATTAAAGAAAATGTGGCCAAAAGTGGCCTTGCACAGCCAGTAAATATTCTACAAGATTCCCCAATTCCATATAAAAATGACACACTCCCTACTGCAGCAGGCTGTCCAGGAAAGATTAAAATACCAAGACATTCAGTTGTTGTATGCTGGTGCATAAAGATGTTTCTTAGCTCACTTCATCCACTTTGTTGCCCTCTCATCTACTTTTGCCTATGGGACAAAGGTTTGGATGCTGTCCCTCCCCATATATATAATCAATATTTGTTTCCAGCACTTACAGAGGCCATGAAACTGCAACGAAGGAAGAGACTCTAATCCTTTTCCTGGCCCAGCAGAGACATATAATTTTACTGTGCTATCTAGCCTTCACGGTACCAAATTATCAACTCAATCAAAATGGTTTGGTCACCATTTATTCGGAATGATACTCTTTAAGGTGAGCCCTAGAAACTTGAAGACACAATTGTTGCTGTGATTAATCTCACAGCAACACTGTCCTAGATTGCTCAGGTATCTGTCTTAGATCACTCCTCCCTCTGAAAGCCAACACCAGCCCATGCAGGACTGGTTTAACCAAGGAGTTCTGCATTGCACAACCCGGCAGCTAAGAGTGCAGAGTAGTGTTTATAAGATCATATCTCTCTTCCATGCAGATGCTCTTCTTCGTTCACACAGTTTGCTAAATGCTCATTTTAAAATTCACACCAACAGCTTAATTAGATTCAAGAAGATATCTCCTCTATCTTATAAGCTCTAAATAACATACAAACTTGACAAAAGAAGGGTCAGGTGCCTATTGAGGAAGTGACAAGAAGTGTTAGGACTGTTCTGACCTGATGTTTGTTGCAAGTAATCTCCTTCAAGGAGAGGTGTTATCAGTGCAATCAATCTCTGCTGCAGCTTTGTTCAGGTCTGCTCGTTCACTCACTGACATATCTTTATTCATCTGACCAGAAAATGCTTATTTTCCACCAAAATCCTTCACGGCAAAGGAATGCAATTAATTTTTGTCTTATCTCTTATGTCCTAAAAAAAGTTCTGTAGAAGCCCCTTGCATTTATTCCGCCAAACCTCTTAATTTAAATTTAGAGATGCTGGGTAGGTGTTCTGATTAATGATGTTCGGACTGAGTTTCACCACGTATGTCTCCCACCTGATCAGGAGCCACATACATTCAATGCAGAAATGACTTATCCTTTTGGTGCAGTGAAGAGGGATTTAGCAATGTCTTCATGTATTGCACTCCTGGTGGCATGACTGGAAGCAATGCCATCTGAGATTTTGGGAAGATACATTGTCATGGAACAGTAATGAACATCCAACACTTACCCATAAAGGGAAGTTTAATGGATCTTGACCTTCCCCTGTACAAGACAGCAGAAAATACTTCACTTTTAAGCCTGGGCTGTCTATAGCCCAGTTCAAACAGTTGTCATTACAATCACAAATGTCATCCAAAACTGTTATCCATTTGTTATCCATTAACACCTCAGACTCCACAGTGCAGTAAACTATGAGAGACCAGGAAGGTCCTTGCGTGTGTTTTTATTACTCTGCAAAGTGAACGGACTGGTTTAATTTTGATTCCCTAAAAGTCATTTTAGTTCCCTCCTTTACAATATCAGTCATGAATTCTTTGGATACTTCACCCTGCTTAACCTCATCGCTAATACATAGAAATTAACTTCCACAGTTAATCATAGAGACTTTAAAGCATGTGCTGAATTCATTTATACATGGCTTTCTTCTCTCTCATTTGCAGTATTCAAAATGCCATCCATCAGAGGATGATTCAATGCCATCCCAAACCCTGTGAACTGCTCCCCTGGCTTCCATCACTGTCAGCTTCCTCTTCAGTCACTGACATTCTGACATTTGAATTTCCACTGACATTTCCATTACCACAGTTCTTGCAGAATAACAAAACCCTTCGGATAAATGAAGTCTTAAGAGAAAAAGCCAGCTACTAGGTTAGAAAGAACCGTGCTCACAGTACCAACCCTAATATAAAATGGGAAGAATGTTAGTTGCATTTGCAAAATTCAGAGGAAGATGATCTATCAATTATTCATTATTAATGGATATATCCATCTATCAATTATCCATTATTCATTTGATTGGGCTTATGCTATAAAAGTATTCTACTTTCACAGTATTACTGTGAAGACCGTGCCAATGGAAGTCAGTCCCTCCTTTACAATATCAGTCATGAATTCTTTGGATACTTCACCCTGCTTAACCTCATCGCTAATACATAGAAATTAACTTCCACAGTTAATCATAGAGACTTTAAAGCATGTGCTGAATTCATTTATACATGGCTTTCTTCTCTCTCATTTGCAGTATTCAAAATGCCATCCATCAGAGGATGATTCAATGCCATCCCAAACCCTGTGAACTGCTCCCCTGGCTTCCATCACTGTCAGCTTCCTCTTCAGTCACTGACATTCTGACATTTGAATTTCCACTGACATTTCCATTACCACAGTTCTTGCAGAATAACAAAACCCTTCGGATAAATGAAGTCTTAAGAGAAAAAGCCAGCTACTAGGTTAGAAAGAACCGTGCTCACAGTACCAACCCTAATATAAAATGGGAAGAATGTTAGTTGCATTTGCAAAATTCAGAGGAAGATGATCTATCAATTATTCATTATTAATGGATATATCCATCTATCAATTATCCATTATTCATTTGATTGGGCTTATGCTATAAAAGTATTCTACTTTCACAGTATTACTGTGAGGACCGTGCCAATGGAAGTCGGGCTTTCATCAGATACAAACTCAAGTACAACAATTCGTCCTTCATTTTGTAATATAACCCAAAATACACCAACATTTTGCACAAGATCTTAGCTTTTATATCTGTCCCCATTGGGCACCCATTGTGGTGTGCTTCACCCTTCAACTTACGTATTTTCTGCCATCACAGAAAACTGTGTCACTTGTGGGACTGGTTGTTATGTCATCTTCCTCCTTGCAATTCCTTTTGGTCAGAATGTCACTGTCATTATGGGCACCAGTGATGAGCTCTTGAAGGCTGGGTGTACTTTTCATCTGTAAGAAATTCAGCAAGTAATATTTTTTATTTTTTTTTTATTTAAGAAAAATTTCCTTATTCCTCCAGGAATGCTATCAGAAGAAAACTCAGTAAATACAATTAACTCTGATCAATGTCACGCAGGTGACACACTTTCTAAGAGGATGTAGTAACTTGATTTGAATGTTGACTTACAACTCAGTCATCCCAGCTAGTAGTACAGTCATTATATTCATAATTTTCTAAAATCAACATACCACCACCTAATCTAAGGATCACTACCACAGCAATTACTAACAACAGTCCACTAATAACACACCAAAAAGTAGCAATATACTAATAAAAGGTCTTATTAGCCTTTAACAAAACAGTAATTTTGCAAGAAAAAAAAAATCTTGCCTCCAGGAAACTAAAAAAAATTAAAAATAGTGTTTTGCAACATGCATGACACATGCCTAGGTCTACCCATGCCAGAATGAATATAGGTTGAAAGAGACTTGAAAACAGAAATAGACTCACAAGTTCTTATTTAGCTTTGATTACAGAGAAGTTTAAATTTCTGACTTGTTCTTGACTTTCCTTTGACTAAGTCCATTCACCTTTCCAATCTTCCCATGAAAATCCTGCTAATTTGAGGGAAATTAAGATATATATATAGTAGCAAAACGCCCTGAGATTTACCTTCAGCCAACTCTGTTACCAATAACAACAGTTAACAGAATGAAGTGCCAAAGACTAATACAAATTGCTATAAATAAGCTGAAAATAGGTTTTAGCTCATTCTGGCCCACCACTGGATAATACAATCTATGAAAAGTATGTTCACTGTTCAATGGGTAGGAAAAGAGTGAGGTAAGAAATTTTACATGGTTAAAATCTAAGACAAATTCTTTTTTTTTAAAAAAAAAGTAGAAGATGGATTGCCTGAAAATCTAGAAAGAACACAGTGTGACGGAATCAATAAAAAGGGTAGGGAGTTACTTGCATAATAGATAATATATATTTAACAAACCTGGGAACCCCTCCTGCACAATCAGCAGAAAGCACTAAACAATGAGGACAACAGAGCAGATAATATATCGAGATTACTTCTGCAAAAACCGGATGTGCAGAATCCAAACCAGTACACTGTTATTATTGCACACAGAAATTATGGTGTGTAATAACTGCCCTACCTTAAGAACAGATGTAAGAATTCATTAAGTTCCCTTGCGAGAAGGAAACGGGCAGAAAATGCATTCAGAATATAGTCTCCAAAAAACCCCAAACAAAACCAGAGAGTCATATTTCTCAGCAGAGAAACTGTCTTCTGCTTTATGAAAACCTGAAACACCACCAATTTCACTTGCTAACCAAAACAACCTACCACACACTCTGATTTTTAGCTCCCAAAGCTTGCACGTGTCTGCTTGTTCCCCCACTGATGCAGGTATAATTGCAGTTCCCTTAATGAACTTAGAGATTCCCATGATAAGAGGCCCTAGAAAACACTATCCAATTAACTTCCTAAATCCAGATTTTACACTGGCTGGTAGTTCTTGCCATCGGATTGGGGGTTTTTTTGCTATTACTGAAGTTAAATATAATCTCTTTCAACCTTAATCCAAAAGAATCAAACTCCAAACATATCACAAATTTGCAAAACTCACTTAAGAAGCAGACGGTTTCTTTTCTTAAGAAACTGTCTTGAGAAAACTTGAAAGAAACTTGAGACTGAAGTGGTGCCCCAGTCTTACACCCTGCACATTCGAAATGGCAGTTATAGTTATTTCCTTTCCAACCATTCCTACGAGAAAAGTGCACACTTTCTAGGGGAAAAAAAATACTGTTTGGGTTCATTCTCCAAAAACCAAAGTTCCTTCTGGGGTGAAAATCACAAGTAAGATTTCTACATCATATTTTGTTATACATTTGAGTAATTAATTGTTTTGCAAGTGTAACTTAAAACAGGTTCTGTCCCTAAACTTAAGGCATAGTCCTAGTAAAAAAGTAAACAGCTACCATTATTAAAGGAAAACACAGATGAAAAAGAAAAAAATAAAGGCAAGAATAATGCAATAATGCAGAGATTAAAGATAACTTAAAAAAATCACAGTAAAGATACAAAAAGCCATCATATAAGTGCAGGGGCAGAAAAGTAAAACTTTCTTCAATATGAAAAAGAACTAAATGGCAAAGACTTACAAGAAATAAAGATGAACAGCAATTCTAGCAAAACTAAAATTCTAGCTTAAATATAGTCTAATTGGTTTGAATGAAACAAAAGCTCCCCGACTCAGAGAAACAGTGCTCTGACACACAAACAATATTGAAATCTATCTTTCAAAATCTGTAATGCAAAGGGTAGACTTGATTTAAGTCCTAAATCTTAAAATGAGCAATTAAAACCCCATAGAAATAATTTGGAATCTCCTACTAATACATTTCTCAAGCCAAAGAATCCATATCCGTCTTTTAAACATGATAGGCTGCGTGTGATCAGCATGCAATAAAGCAGTTTAAGTTAGTATTATCTCCAATTCTGATATTTCTCAGTGTATTAAAAGAGGGGTGCTCTGCCAGCGGAATAAAGTTAACACTGAAGTGTGGTTTGCCACAATGAAAGCAGCACTCGGGTAGCAAATAACTGTTGCCAATTTTGTTTATAAAATAAATTGCATACAAAAATATAGCAGAACTAATTTCACAGAGTTCACAGGCCTTGCTGGGCCAATTCAAACCACGAGCCCATGGGGTCTGACATCCTGGCTCTTCCCATTTATCAACACCTCACGCTTCGGAGGAAATTGAAAAGTGTGCACCGAGGGAGCTGTAAGAGTTGCCATGAGGTCTGGCCCAAAGCAAAAGCTGTTCTCAGCATCTAGTTCAGGCACTTTAGCAAACCACATTTACCTCATTCAGATGTACAGGGCGATTCAGTAAGTACCCACTATGTGGAAAATTGACTGTGGACAAAGTTCAGTCACTTGGGAGTTGAAACCGTACAAAACAAAATCTTCAGTGTAACTTTAAAGCAGCTGTGTGACATCACCTTCAGCCCTGCACAGTTTGTGGAAAAACAGATGACTGGATTTTTCTCAAACTTCTCAAGAAAACACCGAAAGCTAGAGACTGTAACCAAAGCAAACGGAAAAGGGAAGTGGCCCAACAACTAACAGCAGTCAATATTTTCTCCTTGCCAAATTAAAAGCGCTCAGAAAGCGTCAGGATGGGTTTTGGATGGTCAAGAGGGGCAGGAGGAGGACAAGAAACAGAACATCTCCCTGCAGCCCAACAATCACACATCCATCGGCCCCAAGAGAGTCTGTGAGCATCTGAGCAAAACGCCCAACCTCTCCCTCCCTGGGTGAGGGTCTTTGTGAAATCTCATTCTCACATTTCAGCTCTGGGCTGAGATCAAGCGTGCAGACTCAGTCAAAAACCTCCTGAAGGATCAGAGTTCTGGCCACGGTCAGCGAACGTCAGCTAATCCCTGCTCATATAATAAAAGTTAAAATTCCACTGTTTAAGTCATTATTCTTGCAAATATATTCCATTCCTGGAACAGGCCTTACAGTTAGAGACTGTGTATAATAACATGGATACCCTGCTTGTGATGTTGATGGCGGTGTCAGACTGGCTCCTCCTTTGCTTCCTTCTTTCCATGTGCTGCCCATAATCTGTGGTTAGCAGACTTCTGTCAGCCATATCGTTCTGGGACTTGGAGATTTCTGAAGTGAAAATAAAAAGAGAAGTCACCATGATAAACGTTGCAAGCAATCCTGTAGGATTTACGGGTTAATTCTGTAGCTTTCAAACTTTCATCCTACAATTTAAGTATTGATCTCCTAAGGATAAGAAACAGATGGGAAAGCAAACACTTGTCCCATTTTTGCATAATTATATTTTGCCTACCTAAATCTTTCCTGCTGTTTCAACTGGAAATTATACTCCTTGCTTCCTATCATTATAGCCTCTGCAAGGAATTGTAGTATGCTCTCAAATACAGTTTCCTTGCAGAAGGAGCTACTACAGTCCCTATATATAGTTTGATCTGTAAAGCAGTTTGGTTTGGTTCAGCATAAAAGCAAGATCATTATAACAACATAAAGCAACATGACAATGAGAATTGGAAAGCAGAGCCTCTTGGAAAATATTTAGACATTTATCCAAAATATGGATGAAAGGAGAGATATTACATACTCTGGTCCCAAAACACATATAATTTTAAGAACATGAGTAGCCCTTATTCACTTTAATAACATTACTCATATGGATAAGCTTATGCCCATACTTAAGTACCTTATTGAATTACCACTTCAGTAGCATCTAGTTTATTGTCAAATAAATCTATAGGACAATTGGACATTTAGTGCACCACTCTCTGCTTCCTAATCCTCAGGGTACAGTCAGAACTTCACTTAAAGAGAAGGGCAGCACCCATCTGTGATTTCTGGAGTTGAAAACTATGAAGCTTAGCAGCAGACACTTTGTCGTAAATCCCAGATAGTCTCTCATGAAGAATTAAAAACTTATAAGTGGTACATGAAAGTTTAATTCATACAGACGAAATAAATATTTCTCCCACAACATGGGCCTCTGTGGAGGAACCTCAGACAGCAGACAATTTGTCATTACGGTATTCAAAAACAATGGCATTCTCAAGTGTGATTTTTAAATCCACTTTGGGTTAGTTTTGCTCTTAGCAGCAATCAGTCCTCAGATGTTTACTGTACTCTGTGTACACCATTAAGGCATCATGTGACATATTCATAGGCAGGCTCAATTAAGTAATCTCTGACTGTAAATGAAACCAGTTTTTTAAAATACACAGTGAAATCAGAGATCATAAAGGAGACTGGAGTGAGGGATCTAATAGAGTAGATAGAATCTGAGTAGCTTGACCAGCAGTAGAAGCAGAAACACTAGCTTGTCTCACACTCTCTTAAAATGAACAGGTTACAGAGCAGATTACTGTGAGAAAAAAAATATGATTTTTCAGTTTTCTTGTCTCTTCCTCCTTTGGCTTCTCTACCCA